TTCCCTTTCAAATTAAAGTTTGTCCCCCTCAGATAAGAAAATCTTAAAAGTGAATGTCAATGCAAAAGTAGTGTGTGAAATAGTTCACAACTCTTCATGAATGCACAATTCTAATCTCTTTTCAAGAGAATACAGAAAGAAATAAACAAAAAAAATCAAATATGACACTTCCTTAATCTGTTCTCCAAATTCCAACTTTCAATATAGATTACTCTACTATGCGTCACCTTTGTATTAATGCAGATGTGACAGGGTTCAACTCTCCTGGTTTACTATGCAGAAGGAGGTTAAGCAAGGGTTGTATCAAACACTAAAATTGACTACATTCTGCAGTGATCACACAGTTCAGCCACTGCCTCCCAGGTATGTTCCAGGCTGAGAGTTAATACTTCTCCTGTCACGTGAAAGGGCAACTGATGCTTGGGAGATTTAGCTGAGTGGAATGAAGTCACAGGTATGCAAAAACAAAAACAATGAAAAAGACTAAGCATATCAATGCTAGATGGAAATTCCCAGCATGTCATGAGAGGCATGGATTAATGATTTTCTAGATCATAAGCCAGAAGCCTTCTTGGTTTTGCACTGTAGCGTACAAGACAGAGCCCAGATAGTTAAAAGAAATCTTATTACTTTTTACAACTAAGCATAATTTAAAGGTTCTCTATTAAAATGTGTATTGGGAAATCTGACTGGAACAGAAAGAAGAAAAGCCTGAATACATTGGGATTTTTTTATTTACTTCTAAGACTATGTACACAAAGTTTACCACTTGAGACGTAACACTGATTTGCATTACTGTTAGACATAATTGCAAAGCTGAGGTATTCAAGCAGTTTCAAATGACAAATCATTGGCAATCTCGTATCAAGCTAAATACAAGTTCAACAACCTGCACCAAAATTTAAAAGCAATTAGGAAAATAATCATGACAGAAAACACAAATCAATACAGCAGACAGCTCCCATTTGTACGCGAATATAGTACATTAAACATTTAGAAAAAAGCAGAAATATTAAAATTTTAATCTGAAGAAGAATCAGCTGGTAACAAATGATTTGACATCTGTCTGGAATACATGTTTTTCCTCCAAAGCTCAGTCAAGACCATTTGCCTATTAGACAGGTTGGTCTCAAATTAAAATACAGTAGGTTTCTGTCATATTAAACACAACCGTAAACAAATCAGAAATACACAACAACTATATTACATGAGTTTAATACAAACCCAGTAAGAAACTGTATCATGCAAATTAAAAGGATCAGCAAAAAAACTCACCTAATAGCAAAAGTAAGGTTGCAAATGAGACTTTTGGCCAATCTAGCAAATATGGTTTTTACTAGCTAAATGATCCAATAAATACCATCCAGCCATTTCTTAAACTAAGTGAAGGTACTGGCTCTGACAGCTTGGCAAGGTAGCTTGTTCCTGACTTCCACAGCCTAATCGTTTTATTTTTATTTTATCACTTATACTTAGCTACTCAAACAAATGTGAGGTTTGTACCATTGTAAAGCTTGACAATCAGGATTTGTTTTTCACACAGATGGTGCTGGAATTTTAGGGATTTAATTATTCAAATAATATATTAGAGTATATATAATGATATATATGATATTTTTGGACTTGGCAAGCAATTTGTAACTGCAAGCATTTGTTAAAGACAAGGAATAACACATAGGCTACTGGAGATCAGACAAATGAAATAATCAGAGTTGAAAAGCGTAGGATGAAGTGAGTAGCATCCATATTGAAAATGCCTTTAAAGAAAATTCCCAATATTTTACGAAGGTTTCGAAGGTTCAAGAAACATATTTATATGCTATTGCTGTTTGCAAATTAGGATGCAGTCTCTACTGTCAGTTACTGAAGAGTACGGGACTGTGTATGTCAGCAACGAGCAACTTAATTTGTACAGTGAGGAACATGAACTTAACAGATTTATGTTGTAGTATGTTTACTTGACGTGTGTGGAAAAAAATGATTCCCATTTGAAAAACAAAAAACTAATCAGAAAGCCACATTTGTACATCTGAACTTCTTTTTTTCGGAAAAATGTGAAAAATGAGAGACTGTAACAATGTGTACCAATGCTCAAGTGACAAGTAATTTTAAGTGCCTCAGGGCCTTCATACTTTATTGATTTATAAGAAAAAAAAACCTTGTGGACCTGCTTCAGTATCTACAGTGACCTTTCTGCTTATACAACATCAAAACATCCCTGGCTGAAATGAATCACGCAGATGAGAAATCAAAATAAAATGCCCAGAGAAAGGTTATTAAGGTACATGAATGCCTTCAAGATTTAGCATATTTTTGCTGTAAGTGCTGCTTAAAGCTACACTGCCACAGAGCTGTCTACAGCTTTAACTTTAGGAAACTTCTCAAATTCTTTTAAATATTTCATCAGCCCTTAAGTGAGTCAGGGGCTCTCTTATAGTCAGTAAACAAGCCTTTCTAATGTGCGTTTAATGATATGTAATTAAAAAAGAACGCCTTGGCCTGATATACATTGAACAACAGCTGGAACAAGCGTTAATTTGAAAGATAACATTAATGGCTAGCACGCCGTGGTACTGCAAATACAGAATGAATAAAGGAAAACAACCACCTCAAAACTGTAATTTCATTAAAAGGAATGGTTTAGTAACTATCTAGCAAAAAGCAAGCTTTAAAACGTGAATGTTTCACTGAGATTCAATGTGGTCAGTAAAGATTGACATAGCGCATTGCATAGCCTTAATGCCTATGACCAGAATTCCCATCATCACCATCACCAAGAGCACTAATCTAATCTTAGGAACACACAGCAAGTTGTAACACCATCACCTCTCATAATGGAGTCCTGAGAAATAAACTACAAGCAAGTTATTTACATTTGTAAGTGCAGTGCAATTCAGTTACTTGAACATTAACACAAAAATCCTGTTTTACAATCATTTCAAAATGTGACTAGAAACCTGTGTTCTTACCATTTCAAGTCAAACATATCCACAGTTAAAACAGTCCAGTAAATAGACTTAAGGGAAATACAGTATATAATAACATTAATGGTACTATAGTTGGACTGCAAAAGTGCTTCATGTGTTGCCATGACAAGTAACGTCTATCCAAAGCACTGGAGCACATCCCATAGATAAAGTATATTTCCAGATGAGAAATTTAAATCACTTTTCACTGCCTAACTTATAGACTCCGTAGTTGTACTGGATTCTCCAGGGGTTATTTTACATAGAGCCATCAGCCTCTCCCATGATGTTCTCTGAGGAAGAACTCTGTTTTTGCATTGCTTATAGAATTATGGTTAGTCAATAATAAAAAAAACACCACAATGGAGCTGCAAGAGAAACTTCTTGCCTTCCTCTCCTTCAATTGTACATGTGTCATTCTGACAGCAATAGAAGATGATGTCTACTGATAAGGCCAGCACCTGAAACACTTCGCAAGAGAAAAATATTCTCTGGAAAACAAGCAGTCAGCTATCCCACTGAGATCCATAACTGACTTCATCATAAAACGTCAGGAGAATAAAAGTGGCACAACACCACAACTGCCACAACAGCAGGTCAACAATCATACTTTTATGCAATAGCCCAGCAAACCAAGGCATTTTATTGATTTATAACATGAAAACTTTTATTTTATTCTTGTAGCTATGGGATATGATGTGGTAGGAAATTCAGAGAATCCCAGTCCTGAGACCCTCTAATGTACAAAAAATAAATTTATCTGCGAGTGCTTTAAAGCAAATATCACTTCATTTATAAAACAACCCTTTTCGGATAACAGGAATTGTGCCATAGAAGTGACATATTCACATCAAATAACAAAATTACTTTGTTGCTATAAAAAAAATATTGTTTTACTGCTGTTCCGATGATAACTCCACTGTTCCCCATTAATAAACAGATCCCTGGGAATGTAAATCAATCTTGTTTTTTTTTCCACTGATCAACTGTAGATAAACCGAGAGGCATTATGCCTTTTATCTTTGCTATCAAATTCAATTTTCCTAGCCTTGAAATAAATTAAAACCCTATTTAACAGCAAATATTTGGTGCTGGCAGTAAAAGTGGCTTGACTGTTTCCAGGCCTTGATCATGAAATTTATAGTAGGAGACACATTTGAAGCAGAGTTTTTTTCTGTTTGAAAATAAGCAGCACACATTCAGTAGACAACACAGGAGAGTTTAGCATTATATTCCAACCAGATGTGTACAGAGCACACCTTTAAACATGTTCAATAATCATAACCAGAACAATAGAACCGGGTGCTGCTGGCTGTTTTATGCCAAAAACGATTAAATCCCCTATTCTTCCCATTGCAACACAATAAGAAAATGAACCAGTGAACCCACTGGATTAGAGTTAATGAAAGTGGATATGTGTGAAGAAGGTTGTATGCTACAAAAAAGGCCATAAGCAGTAAAAAATTCATTCATAGTTTGGGACATTTTATACTGGAGGTTAAAACCTTGGATGAAACATTACATTGCTAACTCTAAAGGTCTTTGGAAACCAAATACTGTGATCTGAAAACACTAAATAAAGTATAATTTTATACACATACAAACAAACATGCTGAAAAGAGAAGAAAGGAGACACAACATTGTGTTTCCTTCTCTTTTCAGCATGGAATAAACGTATTACTTGTTCCTTTGCAGCCTACGCACATGCTGACACAGCTACCTACAATATGTGAACTAGAAACAAACATGCACACATAGGAATTCAGGCAGCTGTGGACATCTCAGCAGCCCTGCAACTAGAAAGTCTTGAATTTTCAGATCCACCATGTCTATCTTTATTTCATGGCATCCGAATTGTGAATAGTGTTACGTATGCGGAATTTATTCATCTGTGGTCCCCGATCTCTTCAAGGTTGTTATAAGCCTGAAGAAACTCTAATTGGGCATTGCAGTTTAGGACAGAAAAATGAATTAGCCCAGCAGTTTATGTGTATATAACCGTGAGGAGGCTGTGAGCGATGCTGTTAGTGTTACCTGGGATGTTGTGAATGGTGATAGCAAGGATCAGTAGCACGATCCTTCTCCAGCTGCTTCCCCTCCTCTCCCCTACGTCTCTGGTACCATGAGGTTCTTCTTGGTCTTCTGTGGGATTGGCTTGAGGCCCTTTCCGCCTCTGGTACACCTCCCCATTCTCCATTTGATCTACAACAGAAGGACAGACCAGATCAGGACACACCCTCATACAGTCCAACAAAGATGTTCAAACCAGGTTATGTTCTGTTTTGCTTTAGTCAAAAACAACTATTTGGTATTTTGAAACATAAAAAAATCTGATTAACTAGAAATGGTTTTCTTGGGATATTACAGGGAGAATATCTTCTTTTTAAAACTGACTTTGGCAGATACAGAATCAGGGGAGATTAAGAGGGGACAGATCAAATCTTGACAGGATTGGACAGCTAATCCAGGGGAATACTTCAGGATCAACGAAGAAACTACCATCTGGGGATGCAAATGAAAATTTTAAGAGGCTGCTTTTAGGACTGTAAACAATAAACACTTCATGCAGTGTTTGCTGGGTTTCTGGAACAAGTTGTCCAGCCATGCTTTTGAAACCGATTTTTGCCAATCAATTAGTTTGTAAAAACCAAATGAGTGACAGGATCCCAGTGGCCACATCTCATAGGTTTCTTGGTTATGTTATTATAAAGTCATATCAAGGCAGGAAATAGGACAACATTAAGCTTTAAAAATAAACTGCTTTGAATAGAAGGGGCCATTTAATTTTTTTTTGTGTCCTGGAGTGGAGCAGTAGGAACAATCTGTGCTTTTGTTACCCAGAAAGGGATTTCATTTACATTTTCACCCTCTCCAGCATCTCTGAAAGCTCCTGCTCTCCATCTTCCTGTAATGGATGTTTCTGTTTATATGGCTTTCCCAGGCAAAACAGATTCCAAAGTCTCATGTATTTGTCTCCCTTCAGATAGCATGTGGATTTACTATGCTTCTATGTCAGAGTGTTCGACAACATACACAGGGATAAATGCTTATCATGGTATTAATTAATAGTACACATATATACTATAATGGTACTACTTCACTCATCAAGTTTCTTATCCTACATCTCATTCTTTCTTTCAGAGCTGCTGGTCATTTTTTGTTGACTACCATGGACAATGCAGTATGTTTAAAGTGATATTAAACCCACCGGACAACTACTATTACTGTATTTCAATAGGGCTAAAAAGTCTAGATTGGATTGTTGAGCTAAAGTGATATCTAGTCTAATACACACTTTTACCACTCAAAGGTTAGCACTCTGGTAATTGATTAAATTATTAAAGTTTGTTTAATCTTTACTGCCACTATATCTGCCATGAATTCTGTAGTCCCAGTCATGCTTTCAATACACAGCATGACTGCGTATGGCACAATGTTTAAATCTCAATACTTTTTTTAAAAAAATAAATAGAATGCATAGCTAGACACAAAATTATTTAACCATCCCCTTAACTGCTAACAGAGGAAGGACTGTTTTTTTTCCATGGATGTTGGGAAGAGCCTTACAGTAAAGGGCTGATATTATCATGAAAATTTCCCCCAGCGAACAGGACGTCTTGCATCTGACACTCTGGATTTCACAGGCAGTGATTAACAGATTAAATGGTTAGCTTTTCTGGAGAGGCAGAAAATCGATAATGCTGCTTCTCCTATATTTCTTTTCAAGCTTGATAATTAAGATAAATACTTATTTCTTCTTGAGAAAGAGAGTAAGCCTATTTGAAGAGCCTTGGGGAGATACCATTATAATAAAACATTGATAAACAGAAACGTTTTATGGAACTATTTTCAAGTTACAGGGCACCAGGAAGTACTTAAAGAAATGTTTATCCATCCCTAAAGTTTTGTCATGTATTCCCTGGATTCTGGAATAAACTGTTAAACTTTCAATTGGGTGGTTGTGTGATATCACCATTATGAATATTAGAAATTAATTGTATCCTTAGAGCCATCTACGTATAGCTCACAGTTAAGTACTTTGAAAAGAGCGTATAACGGCATATAAAGAATTAAAAAGTGGAGAGGAAATCATGGCAGAACTGAGAAGGCCAATGCAGAATTTCAACCAGACTCTCCCCAGTAATAATATGCTTCAGTTCAACGTGACTGGAGAAAAAGAACATTATGAATCTACTGTGAAACATGTATCTTGAATCTACTCCTACTTAATTTGAGAGAAAATTGCAGGTGGGGATTCCTCTTATCATTTGAGAAATGAGAGGTGTAGAGAGGGGGCAGCTGGTCAATTAGTTTCTACACCCACTACCACCCACTTCAAACCTACAGATCCTATCTCAGAGCACAGATCCACTCCACAGGCCAGGGCAGTATTAGGCACACACTTATGTTCCTACCATTAATTTTAAAAAAAAGGACTCAGGCCCTGTAAGAATTTCTGAACAATGGAAATCTATTATCTAGGCTCACCAAAACCCTTCATAAATGTTTGTTTTTTCAGATTTAGACTAAAGAGGGATTATCTGGCCGATAATGATATAATAAGCGTGCTGAAACTGTTAATTTTTAATGGATACATGAATAATTCTGGCAGCGGATAAGCAAGATTTCATGTTTGGGGAAACTGCTGTTTAGCATAAGCCATTCAGCTATTTTCAGATGGATTAGCAGACTTAACTATAAGCTTCTTGTGTTGTGCTGTTAAACTGTGTTTGTGTGTACAAGTGAACAAAGGAAGAAAACAGCTCCTTATCCTTCTACAACTGGCAGGCAGCTTAATAAGGGAAAAAAGGCCTCAAGGCAACTCCTGGCTTATTACCCTGTAAACAGCACTGCTGGGAGGGAGGCTGAGTGGGATGATGGTGTATACTGACAGACTACAATAACATAACGACAAAAATGAGTTATCTAGCAGACACTTTTACCCACAGCTCCTTAGAAACAAGAAGGTAAGGTACAGTGCGTGCCAACTTTCAAAATTTACCCAAGCAGTCTGGTTGTTGGATTGTGTGTCTGAGTGCAAGCAATCAAGAAGGACCTAAGTCTTCATTTCATTTCTTGCTCGAAATGTCAGAAGTGTGATAACAGATTTTTGTTGGGCCTAAGCTGACTGAGGAATATATATGGGTTTAACAGCAGAAACCCTGTTTTACCCTGTTTTCAGCAAAATTACCACCTTGATGCAGAAGCTAAGCAAAGGCTAGACTTGAACAGTCATGTGGTGGAAAGCGTCTAAAGAAATCCAGGTTGCTGCTGCAAGTGTGGTTGATAGGCCAGGAGGTGGCACTCTTCCCTCTGGACCTGGATTTGCAAACCAATGTCCAGATATGGGCAGAGGGGGACATAGAAGACTCCATCTAGGAACTGAAGCCTACTGTTACAGATATACTGGCTGATATCAACTCTGAGCTTGTACATTTGGCATTCCGAAAAGTTCCATATCTTGCTGCTCTGTCCGATCTGCTGTGCAGCTGCTGCACTTCAAAGGTGAATGAAGTGGGTCGCCATCTATTGACAGAGCACTTTGGGATCTTTTGTGCTGCAATGCTCTTTATATTTCTCTCGAAATTCTTGAATAATAATGTATAACTATGCATGAACAGACAGACCATCTACCAAAGGCTGCAAAAGAACACAATCTGATTTACCAAGTGCATTAGATTTTATAATACAATCACTTTTAATTATACATGAGTTCAGAGGAGTCTTTTTGAAAAGGCTTCAGAACTGCTATCCTTAACAATTCAGACATGTACCATCTTTAGCTGGCAGAATCTACTGTAGCCAAGAAGCAGGAGTGCACTGGTTATTAAGATCTTCTCATCAAAGCAAGGTAGCAGTAGAGATCTCTCAGAACACTGTCCCAATATACATGATATGTGATGTCGTGGCTAACAGCAGTGTAACAAAGAGCCACAAGAAGAAGACTACAGGGCTGGAAGTTCCATTTTACCTGGGCAGCCACAAAGAAACAGAAGTTTTCTTTTCTCCACTTCAAAGTGAAGTGCAGTCCAAAGGTGTAAATATGGCTCTGGGCACCTGTCAGCTGACAGTGAATTGTTTGTGCAGAGTGCATCAAAGGCAAGTGTCACGCAAATATTTATTGGAGGTTCAGAATGACCAGCAGAAAGAGTTGTTTGTGCACAGTAAAGATGTTGAAAAAGCCAAAATATTTTTTTAAATGAATAACAAAAGAGTCCTTTTCTCCTGGGGTTTGTGTGTTAATGGTGAAAAACAAGACTGCCAAAGAGACAAAAACAAATAACAGAGATCCATGCAATTAAAAGACATGCTGCATATAGTGCCGATGACAGAACAAAACTCAATGTAGAGTTTTACTTCTGAGGGCCACAAAGCTGAGATACAGCACCATGAGATTTGATATTTTCAATAAAATCCACACAACAAATTTCCTTTGTAATGTTTTCCGATGGATCTCCAAGGACTGCATGCAATACACATAAGTGCAACTCAAAAGGCTATAAAGATAATATTTTCATTCTTAGGCTTTTAAAACACAGATGGAAAAACAGATTGAAATTATTGCTGACATCTTGGTTTTTCAGCAGTTTCCAGAAAAACAAAACAAAAAGGACTGTAACTTGTTTTTCTTTCTCCAGGGGAGGCTGTTAACGTTTAATCCCACAAAAAACAGCTTTTTTCTGTCTTTATACTGATGGACCATTTCGTCCCTGATGTATGAAAGGTCCTTGTGATGGTGCTAAACTCCACCCGCATTCTACCAATCTGGGCTTTTAACCACTTTAGTACAAAGAACAGCCAGTTTAGTTATAACAAATCATGAGGGCTTCATGAGGTACCCTCTGCAACATAACTAAGAGGTGGGTGAAAATTATCAATATCCTGGCTACAAAATGAGAGAAAGTTAACATAAAAACCTTGGGCTAGTTCACAGTTAGATAAAAATTAGTAAATGAAAAACAGAGACAGGCTGGCTACTGCTGTGCCACATACTGTACAGTAGGTAGAATGAATAAGGGCAGACATGGTCTTCTGACCTGTCTACCTATCATAGCTTCGCATCTTTTGACATGCTATGAGCTCAACATTGCCTTAACCACAGTGTTAGCTATGCTGAAGGAGCAGTGGACCTCCCTGATGGCACTACAAGCCCGAGGGAGCCCCAGAATTTGCAAGACTTGCCATTTCCTTGGTCCCTACTC